AGATTAAAAGAGATTCTGACATGTCTTTCAGCGTTACCTAGGATTGACTCTATATGAACTTCATCTTTTTCAATATCATCCCCTATGATCCAGATAACAGACTTTTGATGGCCGATAGATGGCTATGTTGCCAATGAGATCTTACACCATTCACACTGCTTCATCCTTGATGGGATAGTGTTATTATCTGAGATTCAGAAAGTATTAAAAGGCTCAAATTTCTTAGAATTTTCTACTAGAGCAATCTTCTATTTCAACTTAGAGTACTGTCTTATACTCAGACCACCAACTTTATATAGACTCTCATACTCACAAGATTACAAATGGAGACTCCTTTGAAAAAGGTATAGCTTGACTTTGTCAGTACATTTAAAAGTGTAGCTCTTTGTTTCTTGAGTTTGTGCTCAATATTCTGATTCTAGGGAGGTATGGTTCTCTTTGACTCAGAGGTGGAAAGAGAATCCGACATGTCATTCAGCTTTAACTGGGATTGAGTGATGTACTTCGCATACTCAGACTACCAACTTTTAGTCGGAATACATTTTCACTGTCTTTTTTTCTACGGTTCTTTTTGTTGAAAATTTTTCACACATCCCTCGTATGCAACTCAACAAATACAGTTCAGGTACTATAAATATTTGCAAAAGTTCATAGTTAGAACAATTTGTATTGTTGATAATTGTGTGGATAATTGGAAGTGGCACTATTGTTGCGTTACATTTACAATACATGAGTTTTGATAGCAAAATATCTGTAGAAAGTAATTATTCAAGAAATACACACCTTAGATCTTTAATTAAGAAACGTGTTTGTAGCAAGAATCATCAACACTAATGGTTTGTTGTACATGATGTAAATGACATGCAAATATTTTTAATCGAAAAGAGTAATAAATAACAAGTAAAAGTATTGGATTCGGCTATGCCGAATTTTATATACTCATCATCAAATCATATCTTGTAAAATTAAAGTGAATTTCGAAAGATGAAGATTTGACGAAAGTTAGCACATACGCTTGCTTTGACCCAATAACGAAGCCGGTTCATTATTTCTCCTAGTCCCATAAAACCATTCCCTCTGAATAGGGCTCTTGAGCTCATAATTATGTTAAATGTTTTAGTATCTCTTCAAAAATAGGCACAACTTAGTTTTATATAAGTCTAATTGATACATAACATAGAAAAGTGTTATGAATATTATATGCTCCCTGTTCAAACTTAGAAACACTCTATGTAAAGAAATTGCTAACGAATGCATAATTAACGCTTTATCCTTAAACGAAACTCTTTTGCACTGCCTGTGGTAGAGATCGCTAAACGATTTACAACTACCACACTCTGTCTATTGAAATTCCCTAAGAGTGTGCAATTGTCGAATCATCCTTTGATGAAACAGTTTCCGAAAAGAATAATTATATTCACCATGGGAACTCAAGTGATTTACTATCACCACTTACAGATGTTTAAACTGTTCTGGCCCTGGTTCAAGGAGAAGGATCCCTACATATATGTATATACATACATATATATGTGTATATCATATCGTATGGGTTGCCTAAGTACTAGCTAATGCAGAAATTGTTTAGAGGGATGAAGAGAAATCAGTGAGTGACTATTTTGTTCTAATCTTCATGATCGAGACCGCCTCAATAACACAAGCCGATAAAATTTGAAAAAATTCGAAACCCTGAGACCAATTTAAACGTTTCTAAAGGATTGAGCAACGCTGAATCCGAATCTGATCTCAGATTTTCTCCATCACATTTGGTGTTTGAGATATCGTGTTCTAAAATTTGAAAACATTCCGTCCGTCTGTCTTCGAGCCGTTATAAGGTCTCAAAAAGTGCCATTTTTTTTTTAACTTCAAGGCCCGATATCTTAAATCCCAGATGTGATGAAGAAATTCTGATTTGGATTCAGCGGGGATCAATCCTTTAGAAAAGTATATTTTGACGTCCGGGTTAAAAATTTGTGGGCTTGTATAAGGCATCACAGATCGATGTAGAGCTGAGAATGAAAGTACTCACTTTCCCGGTTGTATCTTAATAGAAGATTTAACTCCTCTCTAAATTCAATACGTGCGGTAACACGAGTACCTATTGATGACGACATTATTTGATGTGCAATTAAGAGCTTTGACCCTCAAAAAACGCCTGGAACTGATGGTATTATCCCTGCGAATCTTCAACACAACATTGTTCTTGTCGTTCCTTGGCTGCTGAACTTATACACAGTCTGTCTTTCTTGGTCCTACTTTCCTATTCAATGAACCAAGTGCAATGTGATTTTTATTCCCGCTAAATACTTGGGCGTTATTCTAGTTAAGAAACTATCTTGGAGCACAAATGTACTCTCTAGGACATCTAAAGCCATTACGGTGCTATATGTATGTAGGAAGGCCATAGGAACATGATGGGGTATAAACCCAAGAAATGTTCACATTAAACCATGGGGTAGTTGTCTGTTGGCAGGCGCTTAAAAAAGGCATCCCTCAGGCAACAACTGGAAAAGTTCATGAGATCTACTATGCTTCTCATTACCGGTGCTGTTAGAACAACTTCCTCAATGGGAGTTGTTTACTATGCTCAACTGGCATATATTTTTGTGGAAATATTGTTCCATGGGCCATGCTAATATCACCGATCTTATGCCGAGTCATCAGTATGCTGTTGATTATTGCATTCCGGAACTCAGTATATTTCTACGGAGTCTCAAGAATCTCCCCTTCGGTCAAATAATGGCTTCCGTGTGTACACAGTCGGACCCAAGACGACGAAAGGAGTTGGTGGTGGCATATTCATTGAGAAATTTGGTATGAAAATCTCTTTCCGAGTCAATGATGACTGTAGTATTCTTCAAGCTGAAATATTAGCGATAAAGAGGGCGTCAAATTGGCTATGGTATAAATTCTAATATCTAGAAGGGATATACGAATTTACTCCGATAGTCAAGCTCCCTAATTGGTGTGTTTTCCACATGTAGAATTGTCTATGAATGCCGGACGTTTCTCAATGAGATGGGAAGACAATCGTACATCACCCTAATTTGGGTCAGGGGACACGGAAGTTCGTATGACAGTAATATTATTGACATCTTGGCAGCCCCCGGGCATGTTATCCTTGATGATAGTCTCATCTTGGTGTATTGTAATCCGGGGGTAGATAGGTGCTACCAATACCTCTAGTCGGCCGGGACTATAAATTGGTGTATACAATTTACTGCCTGGCTTACTCCTTGCATAAATTGGAAAGAGGTCTAACCAGAGAACCACATAATCTGGTACTAAAGACTGATGTAAGGTAAAGTCAATATTTCGGGATAAGTTCGGTGCTGTTGCCGAAACAACAGATACCCCACAGAGGAGTGGCTATGGGACTAAGCGTTTTAAATGAGTTGGTATTAATTGTATATGGTACAGATTGAATGGGGTATGCGGCCCTCACCCACCCGTTTACCTATGAATGTGTCGGATAAATGGGAAGTGTGCTGGGTTGTCTGATGATGGATGAAAGGTATCATATACAAGTGATATTATTGAATTTTCCTTCCTTGTCCAGATATGTTCAGAGTAAACTCTGTTCATATCATAATTACCACAGCGTGTCACTGTGAGTAAGAAAAAAGTCTCAGCTTATTTTATAGATTCGTACTTCGGTCTGCCGGTTACGTCTCTAGGTGCTGTTGCCGAATCAACAGAGGCCATCCCATCTGCGTGGTTTTAAACGGAAGTGATGTTTTACATCTCGGAAGTTAAGCAACGGGACAGCAATGGTCAGAGATTAGATAGCTCAAGTACATGTACAAAAATTGTGACCTGCGTGTGGTGAGTTGTTTACTTTTTACTCAACCAGTGGTTTAAAAAGTACCACCGTGAGGGCTACACGCTAGGTACTCACGTAAAGCATTTCGACATTCTTGACACCTTGGCAAGAGCTGGCACCTACTTAGCTGACTGGAATAGATCACTTCATGTAATAAAGAGGCAGATTACTGAAAACTGCCTGTCTATTGCTCGTGACCGATGGTCACGTGAACACACGTGCTCAATAGCTAGAGCACTGTGGCCACATATAGAAACATGTAGTTCTAAATATCTTTTTGGTCTCCAAAGACCACAACTAGCTAGGCTGGAATCGATTGTTACTGGTCACTATAAATTAGATAATCATACTAGACGCATTGGCCTTCAGTTCAATGAATTCTGTAGGAGTTATCAAAATGAGGCAGGACAATCACATCTTCTCTGTGATTGTCCTGCCTTGTCATAGACCCGAATTCGGACGATTGGATCGGCCTACTTTAGCGATCTATCCGAATTGTTGAATATCCAAACGTCTTCTGGCTTTCATTAATTTGTCAGAATGGGTGTGAACTTCGGCATTTACATTAATCAGGACGTAAACTTGTGGCCACGTCTTTTTACTCCATGACAATTAGGCCTGGTCTTTTTCCTCAACGGTTTCCTTACATCTCCTCTCTTCCTTTTCTATCTTATCTCTTTTCTACTTTTTTCCTATCTTTCTTTTCTTTTTACAGTTAGTTTTACAAACTGATCAACCTGGTCTCAAGTAAAGCTGCATATGGCTGGCTACCCGTGATAACCTAACCTAAAAAAATTTATTTAAATTTACCGGAAGCTTCTCCCTAATAAAATTATGAACCAAATAGCTTCCAAGAGTTTTGGCTTAAGCGCTAAATGTTCATACTTACTTTTACTTCTGTCAACAAATTTACAATAAATTTAACAACTTTTAAAATCCTTGTTTAAACATTTATTTATGTATTTAAATTTTTTCTTCATCCATATTAGTTTGTTTATTTAATTTGTCTTTCTTTGTTTTTATTAATTTTATTTTTGTTTTCGTTAAATTGCACAATTACACAAATAATATTTTGTAGTTTCACATGTTTTTTGTTTTTGGCATTCTTTTAGTTTATTTTTACAAATTTTTTATGTAACACTTTGGGTTTTTTTTAGGTTTCATTAATATATTTTATTGGTTTTTTATAAAAATTTCTTTAACATTACAAATAATTTAACTAATTTTTACACTTATATTTAAGAAAAAAAGAATTTCTTCCAGCATTTTCTTTGAAATTCTTAAAATTATTTGTATTTTTTGTAAACAACTAAGTATAAGTGTAGGTAAACTAATCTATGATTAGTATTTGTGTGTTTGTATGTTTTTGTAAAAAGTTAATCCATCAAAATGGTTAATGACAAGACTAGAATACTTTCTTTGTTGTTGTTTTAGTTGTAGTAATAGTTTTTTTAATTACATTTAGTTTTTTTTTTAATTTAAATTAAATATATATAGAAAATGCTTAGCATACTTTAAGACTGCCAGGATTTTCATTATTTATAGTATAGTTTTAGGGTTTTAGTTTGTTTTTGTTGTTGTTGTGTGTATATAAATTAGTTTACTTTTATTTTTTTTATTTTTTGTAACATTGACATTTCTAATTATATTTTTGTTTTTAATTCAACAGCCATTTTGTTTTTAAATTGTAAATTTAAACCGATTATATAAAAACCCCCTTAAAATATACAGCAACTTTTGTTTGTTTTATAATGAGTATTTATTATATTATATTTAATTTTAGTTTTGCCTACAATTTCATAAATATTATATTCTAATAACTACTAGACAAATTTTAAATATTTTTAACAATTTCTATAATATTTAGTGGAAAAACACAAACAACTAAATATTTGTTAATAATTACAAAAAAGTTTTTGTTGTTGTTGTTTTCAAAATATTATGCAAAATAATGTATTCATAATAATGATAGTCTAATAATGATGTTTGCTTATAATGTTTTTTTGCTTTTGTTTTTCGCCTTTACTAATTTGTAACTGTTTGTGTGTTTTAAACAATTAAGCAAATATTTTATAGTCTATCAAAACGGGGCTCAATAAACTACATTAAATTGCATACATTTGGGAGCTTAATTAAGAGACTAAAATAAAACATATTTACACATGGTTTTATTAGTTAAATTTATTTTTTGTTTTAATTTAACTCACTTAAATTTATTTATTATTTTATCTTATATTTAAATATTTCTAATTTTTTTTAATTATATACTTCGTTGCTAATTAAAAACTATTTTTCCTTTAAATTTAATTATATAAGTTTACTTTTATTCTTGTACATTTGTAGAGATTTTTCAGTTTTTTTTTCCAAAAAATTTATTAAAAAATTTCCCTTGAATTTTTTGTGGCTGTAAGTGCATGGTTTATCTAGAAATGTGTTTCAATAATCTGCAAAAGAGAGAAAAAATATTTTATATTAATTTTCTTTATTATTTTTATTATTTAATATAAAATACTTCAAATTGCAATTGTATAATTATGAGTTTATGAGTTATTTAGATGTATAATAAATTGTTCTTTCCAGTAATTGAAATATAACAAGTAGAAAAATACATATTCGTCTATACCGAGTATTATAAACAATTTGCCATAGAGTATCTAAAAAAAAACTTAAACACTATTATGAAATTAATTTGATTTCTTTTGTATATATTTTATTAATTCTTAAGAATTTTAATTTCATCATCATACGCAATCTTCCATTCTTGGCTCTACTATTAACTTTGGCAATGACAGAACAATAATAACATACAGCTTCCTACAATACAATACTAAGGCCCATTATTATAACTTGCCAATAACTAATGTTAGGAAGTTATCCTACAGATAATGTGTTTTTCGTTATTACAAGTCAACTTTAGCTAAAAGTGTCCGATAGGCTAACGGGGAGATCACGTTACCTTTAACTTTTAACGTAAGCTTTAATAATTTTTTTAAAAATATTAATAAAAAATAAATTCAATGTCATTTTTCATATGAAAAATATTATTAACGAATAAAAGTATGCTACGGTTTTTGTATATTAATTATGTTGTAATAATGAAAATATTTAAAGATCACTTTATTCCTCACTTTAATTAAAGTTGCCTTTTATTATTACGAACATAAAGCTGTATATTGTTGTTGTTTTCAATGAATGTATTGTTTAGACCTGTAATTTATGGATCAATATTGCCAGCTAATCCTGTTGGTCGTTCATAATATTGAAACCAACTGTTGCTTGGCCGTATTGGAAACAAATTGATAATAGTCGATAATCAATTCTATAGTTTAGCCTCTAGTCTAGTCAATATCATAATCTATAGCCTAGACTATAATTTAGTCTATAGTCTAGTCTATAGTCTAGGCTATAGTCTAGTCTATAGTCTAGTCTATAGTCTAGTCTATAGTCTAGTCTATAGTCTAGTCTATAGTCTAGTCTATAGTCTAGTCTATAGTCTAGTCTATAGTCTAGTCTATAGTCTAGTCTATAGTCTAGTCTATAGTCTAGTCTATAGTCTAGTCTATAGTCTAGTCTATAGTCTAGTCTATAGTCTAGACTATAGTCTAGTCTATAGTCTAGATAGTCTAGTTTGAGAAAAAGATCAACTTACACAATCCATCTATCTTCATTAATGCCTTAAAGAAATTAATATTTTTCACTCAAAAGTCATTTTAGTAAACATTTTACAAAATTAATTAATTTTCTAATAATTAAAAAAACCCAGTTGAAGGCAATTTACATTAAACTGATACCAGTTAAGTCGCAACAAACAAAATAACATACGTTCTAAATCAGATTTACTCTAATCCATTTAGAGTGAAAGAAATTTTATACTTTCTTAAAATTCTATGCTACTCATTTATGTTGTTTTTTTCCTATTTATGATGAGATTGTTTACTTAAGTATACTTGAGATTTTACTGGAAATTGTTGAAATATTTTAATTAAATAAATTCATTCATTCGTACGTTCACTCATTCATTTTTCATTTCAAGACAGAAAAATCATCCATTTAAATGAACAAATACAAATAGAACAACAGAATAGAGCAAAAAACAAAAAAAAAAAAAAAATGTGTAATTTTTTGCGTTCATATTTTTAAGCTACTATAGAGGAGAGGGTATAATGGGTTTGGGATAATGTTGGTGACATACGGAAACAAAGGTATTACATGGGTTCAGATTCAAGCTGATTTACGGATGTTCTTTTGTACATGGAAACCTTTTCTTTAGTCTAAGGATGAAATAAGTTGGATCTTCTTTAAATTTGTCATATAAGTTTGGACGGATAGGCTCATAATTGGCTTATTCCTTTCGATATTTCTAATGATGAGTCTCTTGTTGACCTTAGCTGCTATATAAAGCCTACTTGCATAAAGTACTTTATATCTGTGTAGGGTATCACTTCTGTTTGTTTTGTTGTTTGTTCTCTTATTAATACATTTAACAAACATAAAAAATTAAACAAACAATTGTAAAAGACAACATTCTCTATATTCCTACAACACTGTACTGCCCCAACTCAACATATATAGCGAAGAGGGAAGAGATCTGCACAGGGAAAACATATTTTTCTTAATGTATTTTTAATTGCTGGAAATAAAACATAAAGAAGCAAAATAAAACAGAAAAAAAAATAGAAAAATATGAAAAAAATATACAGAATAAATGATTAAGCAATGAGAAAAGTAAACGAAATAAATAATAAATAAAAATTTCTATTAAATAAGTAGAAAAGTAAATTCATATATATAAATATTTTTTTAAACATTTTGCACAAATTAAAGGACTATGAAAACTGACAGTTAAACAGACAGTTAGAAAATAGACAGCTAAACAGACAGACAGAAAACATTTCAAAATTTCTAATATTTACTTGAAGGCGAGGGAGTTTTTTTTCACTTGTTATATGTGTAAATATTTCTTTTTTTTTTTTGTTTTGCCAAAATAACAACAAAATAAATTTATTGTTTAACAAGAAAAAACAAAAACTTCTACTAATGCACGCGTGCTTATACTTATAAAACATTTAAACACACATCTATACATATGTATATCAACAACAATAAAAAAATGTATATTTTAGCTGCTGACATCATGAGTTAAAGAGGTTTGGTTGACGTCGTTTAATATTAAAAAAGAATAATATCCATTATAATTTCTATTCACTTTAGGCAACATTACCCCCAACATCATCATCATCTCTGACATCGTCATCAATAATTGCCACTCGTATACTTACAAAAACAGTATTTTCCTTTCTCTCTCTCTAACATAAACACTTGTTTACATATTAAGTTTTAACAGTTAAACGCCTTTAGTTTATGCAACAAAATTTTGTATTTAAAGTTTAAGCTTTACACAGTGGTTTAATTAAAGAGGTTTTTTGCTCTTTGAGTTAATTGGAAGGCGGAAGATTTTGAGGATTAGTATTTTCAACAATATCACCTCTATATTCTACAGGTTACTATAAGTTGTTGGTGATGTTTGTAACACAAAAAAAAGTATACCAATCAAATCAGAATTACTTACTGATATTAAGCTATGACCGTCTGTCCTATCGTCCGTTTAACTGTCCGTCTGTTTGTATAAGTAAACTTTTTGCACACGCTACAGGTCGCAATTTTCAAGACAGTTTAATGAAATTTGGCACAAACTCTCTGAATGTGCCAAAAGACGAAGCCCATGATATAGGTTCAATATATCACCTAGCCTCCGTACAACCGTACCAATCGAATAGGGTTCTTGAGCTTACAATTATGTCAAATATCGGCAAAACTTAGATTCGATTAGTGAAGGCCCTAAGCACTGCGACCCTATTTTGGCTCTTTTGTGCAGCCCGAGGGTTCACCATGACAGGTTTAATACACGTATGAAAATAACGGGTTTAATTGTTGAGAGGTTGAATATATCTTTCGGGGCTAGTGATGCAGCACCTAAGAATCTTTCTCAACGTTTTGGACAATTGCACAATATGTGTTCAGAGGTTTCCCCCTGGTAGCCACAAAATCTGCATAGCTTCGATATGGCGTTTACTAGGATAAATTGATGATCCAACTTAGTTTTGTGTAAATCTAAATGTTATTGCAGATCAAGTTTGGTTCACAGATGAGTCCAAAGAAATAAATCGCGAAAAGGGTACGGGACCCAACTTCTAAGAGACCATTCCCAAGGTATACAATCTTTCAAGCAGAAATATAGGGAGAAAAACAAAAGTATTAAACATATTTATAATGTCGAATAGCCAAGCATCCGTCAAGGCCTTATTGTCATTTGAAATTAGATCGAGTGTTGTCTCGGACTACTTGACTGTAGTTAATGAATTAGCTTGACATCAAAAACTGGCTTACGTAGGATATCTGACCCTGAAAGTCACTTTAGCAATGAACGAACAGACTGCCTTGCAAATAGAGGTGCTGATCTTCAATGTATTTGTCATAAGCCCTCCTATGTTATTTCCCGAGGATATGACAAAGATAGATGTGACTTTTGGGTAAAATTTGAATTCGTTCACCATTAGGAAGCAATACCACGGTGCAAAAAAACCAAAAGATTTAAAACACCGCTAAATAAAAGCAATAAGGAGATTATTTAGTGGCCATTGTGGTTTCAGATACTATGAGGTATGTGGCTACAAAAGAAAACCGCAGAACATATTCTATATAACTGTCCATTATTACAAAATCTTCAAACTCTCACCAACTAAAACAGTTTCCTCCCACACTTGGGTCGCAGTGCTTTGTGCCCTTTCAATTAAATCTAGTTAGTTAGTTAGTTTGTTAGTTAGTTAGTTAGTTAGTTAGTTAGTTAGTTAGTTAGTTAGTTAGTTAGTTAGTTAGTTAGTTAGTAGTTAGTTAGTTAGTTAGTTAGTTAGTTAGTTAGTTAGTTAGTTAGTTAGTTAGTTAGTTAGTTAGTTAGTTAGTTAGTTAGTTAGTTAGTAGTTAGTTAGTTAGTTAGTTAGTTAGTTAGTTAGTTAGTTAGTTAGTTAGTTAGTTAGTTAGTTAGTTAGTTAGTTAGTTAGTTAGTTAGTTAGTTAGTTAGTTAGTTAGTTAGTTAGTTAGTTAGTTAGTTAGTAGTTAGTTAGTTAGTTAGTTAGTTAGTTAGTTAGTTAGTTAGTTAGTTAGTTAGTTAGTTAGTTAGTTAGTTAGTTAGTTAGTTAGTTAGTTAGTTAGTTAGTTAGTTAGTTAGTTAGTTAGTTAGTAGTAGTTAGTTAGTTAGTTAGTTAGTTAGTTAGTTAGTTAGTTAGTTAGTTAGTTAGTTAGTTAGTTAGTTAGTTAGTTAGTTAGTTAGTTAGTTAGTTAGTAGTTAGTTAGTTAGTTAGTTAGTTAGTTAGTTAGTTAGTTAGTTAGTTAGTTAGTTAGTTAGTTAGTTAGTTAGTAGTTAGTTAGTTAGTTAGTTAGTTAGTTA